ACCTCTGCCTCTTGGGGTGGGGACTTCTTGCTCTGATCCTGACCCAGCTGGTGAGAAATCCACAGGCAGCCCTGTGATATGGGTCATCTTTTTACAAAGTCCAGGCCTATGTTTTGTTTGATCTGCAGGTCTCTTATTTCAGAGTAATTTTGGTAATAATTTTGCATGTCCCTGCCTTTCTTCCAATTATGTGGGTTCTCAGTTGGTTGCCTCTGAGAAGCTCCAGTGTGAGTCCTTTACTCGGCCATGCTGAATCTCGTGCTCCATCTTTTCTGTTTGGATACCCAGCAGCATGACAAAGACTCAATCTGTGCTTGGAAGATTTTGGCTTTCTGAGAATGTGTTCAACCTCTCCTGAGCCCTTACTCTGCACAGCCATAGGTACAGCCTCTGTTTAAGCTGCCTCGCACCCTCTCCTGTGCCCAGGCCTGTGCCTTGTAGCATGTGGGGTGTCCATGTCAGGCATATCTTCATTTCAGGAAGTTTTTGGGGTTTTTTATTTTTATTTTTAGAGAAGGGTCTACAGGGTGTTCAGACTGCTAGATCAGACTCATAGTGATCTTCCTGTTTACAGCTTCCCAAGAGCTGAGGTTACAGGCATGTGCCACTACACCCAGTCTCAATTGCCATCTCAGTGTGCCCTTGGGGCGGGGCTGGCACAGCAGGCCCAGGGATCAAAATTCTCCCCACACCCCTGCCCCTGTACATGCTTGCACATGCTTTAATCCACTGAGCTATTTGGCCAGCCCCTTTGTTTCAGGAAATTCTTGGCTGTCTTATTACTTTCCTCATCACTAGAAGAAAATACAAGACATTCTCTCTCTTTTTTTAAATAATTTTATTGAAAAACAAATAGCAATGAGACAGTTTCAAAACCAATCAGTAGGGGCCAGGGAGATAGCTCAGTAGAATAGCACTTGCCTGGAAAGCTCAAGGGCCTGAGTTCAATCCCAGGTTCTGCCAAAAAAAAAAAAAAAATCAGTAGGATAGTTTCAATAATAAATACATTGCACATTGTTGTTTCAGTGGTTATTCAAGGTACAAGATGCAGACATGACATCCCATCCACAAACACTACTAGAACAAATCTTATTCATTGAATTAAGAGAATGTAGCTGTATATCTATCCCAACTATTTTGAATATACAGATACAAAATGGTCATTCATTTATATCCCTTTTTTATGTTTAGTTTTGTCAGAGAAGGGTATTCCATTGCCATTTAAATATTGTAGGTGCATGAATTCAGCAAAATATTCCAATATAGTCCAGTAGTTCATAATAGTAGTGTGTCATCTACAGGACTGGCAATGTCAGAAGTTGCTGACCTGAGCCCTTTACAGCCCAGCATGACAACATGGCTTCGCCTCTTATACCTTGTTTTTTTATCTTTCTGCTGGATGGTTAAGACCAAGATAAACCAAGACCTATATAACAAGAAATGTAGCTTTTGTATCTGATAAGGTCAATCAAATCCCCTCAGGATTTATCCAAATCCCTGTACCGCACTTTGTATATCTTTTGTCAGTGTCAGCCATGTGGATGAGTCATGGCCATTGCTTGACCAATTTGCTCTCTGTGAAAGCCTAAGAGAATGTTTTCTCTCCATGTGACTCTCCTTAGGCACACTCTATATCATCAGTCACATTCCTCTGTGGCCCCATAATCTCCTTGATCAGAAAATTTGGGACACAACTGAGTTACAGGATGTTACAGTACAGGTTCTCCTATGTCCTGAGTCTTCACTGCCCTCAAAAGGCTAGGGCCAAAATGTTGGCTGTCCTTGCAGCCCTTCTTTTTCTCTAATTTTTGGTCTGTAGATTTAGGTTGTTAACCCTCCAGAAGAGAAGCTTATTATCACCCTACAAGATATGCAGTTGGGTTTAACCTAAAAAATTTCTATTTGTCTGAGTATCAAACATCTTAGGAGTAATATGGAACAGGTATTTTCCATCAAGTATTGATATGTTAAACATCAAGTCCTTACAGAATATGAAGGAAAATTTTTTTAAATAAAAAAATTTTAAAATATGAATAAACAATTACATATTTTTACACAGAAATTTAGAAATCTAAACATATACAGCATTGTAACAGGACAGTCTTACGACATTTTTTCTTGTATCTATTTTTCATTTATTACCCCTTATTTTAAACAAACATTTACTTGAGAGACAGTATGGAACTAATTGGTATGTCATGGCAAGCAGTATGTATTTAGAAAACTAGAAGGATGGGCATTCCAAGCATGGCTCTACCATTACACATTGCTATCTTCAGTGCAGTTACTTGGTTCACAGGTATCAGCATGTATAGTTAGTCCGTGTGAGAATCCTACCAATTAACTGCTAGTTTCAAAAACCTGCTGATGTTTCTCAGGATCGCTGCCTTGCCCATCTTCAAGACATTCTCAATATGAAGAAATTCTGCAATGGTTCCCATCTTAGAAGCTTCCATCCTTGATGTTTCGCAGCAGGGTGGATGGACCTTGGCAGAGGAAAGGCATTCAGCTCATGTTGGGCAGAAAGCAGAGAGAGAAGGAGGGGAGGGGCAACATGAGGGTCCAGGTCACACCTTCAGAGACTCTCTTCTGCCTACAATGCACTTCACAAGAACAAGTCAGTTATCATGCCCCCATGATTGAGTCACCTTCCAAACATGTGAACTCTGGGGACCATTTAGATCTCAATCATAGCATAGACAAAGGATCGAAGGTCAAGTGGGTGGGCTTTGGCAAGGTTTGCTGCCCTTGGAAAAATTCAGGAGGAAGGAGAGGAATTACTCCACTAAGTTTTGAACTGGAGAAATTGTAACGAGGACGGCATGTGTGTAACTTTCCATCTCCAATGCAGTGTGCAGGAGGTCACTGTTTTGCTCACAGTCGCTAAGAACACATACGCCTGCACTCTCCACTCCTTTCTCCACCACAATGCACAACGCATGCTTCTTGCTCCTCAGACCTCCTGGATGGGACCTTTGCACACTCTCCAGCCTAGACCATCCTTATGAACTTCTCCTGCCCAACAGATGCAGCAGGGTGCCCAGCAGACTCTAACTGTGATGTCAAGGAGCGGGAGCCTTCCGCCACCTGGGGGAGTGCTGTCTAACAGCAGGACCCTCTCACGACGCAGCCTCACTCTGCCTCTGGCTCGCAGCAGCGCAGTGCAATGCCAGGGTCTTCTGACAGAGGAATGGAAAGCAGACTAAGGCCTCCAGCTGGGCTAACAGCTGGGGTGGACTGTGGGTACCCTTGAAGATATTATTGTACTTCTGCGCAACCTGTAACGTAGCAGGCTGTCTGCACTAGCTGCCTGCTTTGTGCATCGCTGAGTTTCTGCACTCCCAGCTCTGGAGCAGAGGTTGAGGTTATGGGTGCTCCGGACACTGTCCTGCATGGCTTTCCCGTGTTTGTGTACAGTTTAGATTTTCTTTTATTTTTCTGTTGATCCAGAGATCCCCCTGTATTCACATGCAAAGTATCTGCTTTATAGTGCTGATTCTCCTGAGTCTTCAGTTGGATTACTCAGAATCTCCTTCCAGTCTGCTCTCTTGCCCTAGAATCTCCAGCTAGGTTTGTAAAGACATTATATCATGAGCAAAATAGATTTACACAAAATAAATAAGCTACTACAAAAGGAAAGAAAAAAGCAACTTGAGCAATTGCAAAAACTAAATATTCAATATTGTTTATTAATATATCTGACCAGAGGAAACAATTTTAACTCAATAAAGGATATTTCCAGAATGATAAAATAAACACCACATTTAAGGTTTCACACTTAAAGGCAAGAAATAGATAAGAGGGGCTGGCCAAATAGCTCAGCAGATTAAAATGCCTGCAAGCAGGCGCAGGGGCTGGGGGTTTGATCCCTAAGCCTGCCACACTGGCCCTGCCCCAGGGGTGCGCTGAGACAGCAATTGAGACTGGGCATGGTGGCACATGCCTGTAATCCCAGCTCTTGGGAGGCTCTAAACAGGCGGATCACTATGAATCCGATCTAGTAGTGAGACCCTGAACACACTGTAGACTCTTCCCTAAAATACAAAAAAAAAAAAAAAAAAAGAATTAGACAAGAATCCCCAATTTATCAACACATTGTAGTTCCCATGCAATGTACATTGGAAGAAAGTAGGAACTCACAGAAATATTATACTGAGAAGGAACTATTTAAAAAGGTGTTCATGCAGATGATATTATTGCATAAACATAAAACTTAAGTAAGGTAGAAAGTTATTAGTGGCCTTAAGTGCTGGCTATTGTAAAAAGAACACAAATAGATGACATTATAATAGTTCAAGTGATGGTGATGAACATGATGTGACATACCATTAGTACAGTCTAGTCACCTTACATACAAGATTTGAGGAAATTCATTTCTCTGGTCTAGAACACCAGATCATGGAATAAGGTATATATGATACAGAAATTCTTCACTAGACACTAAATCTAGAGGCTGCTTTGTCTTTAACATTCTAGGCTCCAGAACTGTGAATGATAAAATTAATTTTTATGAATTATCCATTCTAAAGTCTTTTATTGTAGTATCCTGAATTCAAACTGGCAGTAGGGCTTTTGGATTTGCTCTGAGACAAGAAAAATTATATTGGGATTATGGAAGATAAATACAAAGGAGACACAACTTTAGGTATTTAACTATTTACTATGCAGTATTTTACTGTTTAGCCATTTAACTATGCAGAAAATAGTCAATATTATTTAGTAACAATTCTCTACCCAAAAGTATTTTATTCATTATCTACATCGCAAATGTACTTAGGCTTATCCCATGCACAACCCATAAGTAACCTATGAATAACACAGAACTGCTGAATTTTTTAACTTCTCACCAAATAGGGACCAGTGTGTGAAGTGTCCAGACCACCAGTATGCTAGCCATGACCAGACAGTGTGCCTCCAAAAAGCCATAACATTTATGGGCCATGAAGACATCTTGGGAAAGACATTAAGCCTTACAGCCTTGTGTTTGTTTATGCTCACAGCTGTTGTCCTTGGCATTTTTGTGAAGCACCGAGACACCCCAGCAGTCAAAGCCAACAACAGGGCTCTCAGCTACTCTCTGCTCATCTCTCTCACCTGCTGTTTCCTCTGCTCCTTGCTCTTCATTGGCCGTCCCAACACAGCCACCTGTATCCTGCAGCAGACCACATTTGGACTTGTGTTCACTGTGGCTGTTTCCACTGTCTTGGCAAAAACCATTACTGTGGTGCTGGCCTTCAAGGTCACTGCTCCAGGAAGAAGAATAAGGAAAGTGTTGATATCAGGGTCCCCTAACTTTATCATCCCCATCTGCTCCCTGATCCAGCTCACTCTCTGTGGAGTCTGGATGGGGACAAATCCACCCTATACTGACACAGATGCTCACTCTGAGCATGGCCACATCATCATCATGTGCAACAAAGGCTCCCTCACTGCCTTCTACTGTGTCCTGGGATACCTGGGCTCCCTGGCCCTGGTGAGCTTCACTGTGGCTTTCCTGGCCAGGAACCTGCCTGACACCTTCAATGAAGCCAAGTTCCTGACCTTCAGCATGCTGGTGTTCTGCAGCATGTGGGTCACCTTCCTGCCTGTGTACCACAGCAGCAAGGGGAAGGCCATGGTGGCCATGGAGGTCTTCTCCATCTTGGCCTCCAGTGCAGGGCTGCTGGGCTGCATCTTTGTCCCTAATTGCTACATTATCTTATTAAGGCCAGATAGCAACTCTATTCAAGGATTCTGGGATAGAACTTTTTCTAGGAGAAAAGAGCCTTCTTAAAATTTAACTCATGAGTAGCCTAAGATACACACAGAGGGCTTACAGACAGCAGCACTCCATGGTAAAGATAGCATGCTAAGTATGATCTGGGATTCCATTTAGTGGAAAGCAACACTCACGTCTTTGTCGAACGATATTGTGCTCATGACAGGCTGCAGTCATTAAACCATCATTATTTAATATCATTTTTCTTTCATCCAATTAAGTTTACAGGTATCTTTGCCCTTCTTGGTTATTTTTATTTGTAGAAGTGACCTTCATATATGCTCCCCTTCAGTGTTTGTAAATATATTTGCAAACTTATGTATCACATGAACCTTCTGTTAATCTAGCCTTGGTTACCCGATTACTCAAGATTAATTATAAGATCTTTAATTTTTCCAGAAATGTGAAATACTGCCTTCTTAATACACCAAATTGCTACATGTACACATATGATTCTGAACTATTTATGATGTTTCATTTATTTAGTGCTTAATAATTTAATATTTCATAATTTTCTTGTGAGGAGAAATACATACTTGTTGAATCAAACTCAATTTGGCCCAAATCGGAGTCATGCATAATGACTCTTGGCATGGCAGTCCTTCCATAATAAATTTAAAAATAACATGATATGCAACTTAATTTAGGAATACTTTTTGTAACAAACATCTAAGTTTCAGCCAATCATAGAAGCTGAGCCTCACTGAGCCATAAAAAGTCAGTGCTGGCAGGCAATTTGGAGCACTCCAGTAATCCCAGCACTTAGGTGGCTGAGGCAGGAGGATTGCTACGAGTTTGAAGCCAGCCTGAGCCAAATAATGAGTTCAGGGGAAGCCTGAACTATACATTGAGACCCTGTCTCAACAAACAAAAGAACAAATTAAAAAGTCGATGTTGAAATTAGGCAAACACCCAGTGGTACCAAATCCATTTCTTTATGTACTACACTTTTTTATTTTGAGACAAGGCCTTGCTGTTTTGTTCATCATTTGAAGTCTCGGGATCCAGTTACTGAACTTTTTTAAAAAAGAATAAAAAATAGTAAAACAAAATGAGAAATGAGGCTGGTGAGATAACTCAGCAGTCTAAAGCTCCTGCTTAGGCAAGTTTAGGCAAGTGCAGGGCCCACGGTTCGACCCCGGCACCACATGCAGTGCCAGCCCCACACCCAGGCTGGGCTGAGCCAGCCTCAAAAAGAGAAATTAGCAATGATACACAATTTCAATAAAGAAAACAATAGGAATTCAACAATGGTTGTTATGCTGCATAATGTAGTCTTTAAATTAGTTGTTTGAATTACCAGATATAAACACTCAGAAGCAGCAAAAAAAAAGTTATAAGAAATTAAAAGAAAAAAAAACATAAAAATTTAAGTATTAACTGCTCTGTTCACTAGACCAGCAGAAATCAGTGGTGCAATTACCCAAGCCATACCGTATGTGTACATAAATATGTCTTTTTCCCGTCTTCTTTCCTTTCCTTTCCCCTTTTCCTCATCCCAGTTATTCCTTCACTTTGAGCGGATTCTTTCCCCTTCATAGTCTTTATTTTATCTTCCAGATTTTATTTAATTTTTTAGGTCCTTGCAGTAGGGAGAAAAGACGATGTTTCTACGAGTGGGCCTGATTAATTTCACTTCACTATGGTCTCTAGTTGCATCCACTTACCTATGAAAGGCCTCAAGTTTATCGTCACATCTTTTTCATCCATCCCTCAGTTGATGGGCATTTCAGTTGCTTTCAAGATTTAGCTCTGACCAATTGTGCTACAATAAACATGGGTGCACACAAATCGCTGTGCTGTGACTGTCTCAGTTCTTCTGGAAAAATACTCAGGACAGGAATAGCTGGCGCGAATGGGCCCTCCAATCCTAGCTTTTGGGACAGCTCCACACTGATTTCCGTAAGGGTTTCATGAGTCTGCACTACCACTGACAATGCAGAAGGGTTCCTTCCTCCACACAGCCCCTCCCGCATTGATTGTTGACTTGCTGTTAGCCATCTTTCTGGAATGAAATGCAATCTCAGGGTTATTTTAATTTGCATTTCTCAGGGCTGGCCAAATAGCTCAGTGAATTAAAGCACCTGCATTGGCAGATCGAGCGGCCAGGGGTTCGATCCCCAGTGTGCCGCGCTGGCCCCACCCCTTGGAGGTACTAAGACTGTGATTGAGACTGGGCGTGGTGGCACGTGCCTGTAATCCCAGCTCTTTGGGAGGCTGAACACAGATGGATCACTACTACTCTGATCTGTGTAGTGAGGGCCTATAGACCCTTACTGAAAAATACACAAAAATAATAACAATAATAAAACTTTGCATTTCTCAAATGACCAATGATGTTGAATATTTTTTCATGTATGTACTTGCCATTTATATTTCTTCCTCTGAGAAGTGTGTGTTCATCTCAGACACCCATTTGTGGATTGGTTCTTTGAATTTTGGGGACCTGATATTTTTAATTCTCTGTATGTTCTATATAGGAGTCCTTTGTTTGGGGGACTGTTGGCTAAATTTCTTCCAAATTTGTGGGCTTTCTTTTTAGTCTGTTGGTGAGTTCTTCTGACATGCAGACACTTTTCAACAGATGAGATGCCAGTGTTGATTCTTAAAGTATTTCCTGTGCAATTTGTTTTTTATTCATGAACTCTCTACCTACCCCTGTGTCTTTAAGATTTCTACCTACTTTGTCCTCCACAGGATTAAGTATTTCTGTCTGGGTTTTTTTGTTGTTGTTTTTGGGTTTGGGTTTCTTTACTTGTTTGTAGTTTTGCTTTGTTTTGTTTTTTGTTTGATACAGGGCCTTGCTACACAGTTCGGACTCATAGTGATCCTCCTGTCTCAGCCTCTCAGTGCTGGGATTGCAGGTGTGCGCCACCATGCCCAGTTCAGGAGCCAGCACAGTGGGCCTCGGGTTCTGGGGCTGTCGCTGGCACAGCATATGGGGACTAAACTCTGGACCTTGCAATTGCAGGAAGAAACTTAGGCCACCAAGTTATCTCCCCAGCCAATGTGTATCTGTTTTAATACTCAAATCTTTGATCCAGTTTGACTGTAGTTTGGTGCATGACATCTGCCTTATATGGTTTTTCTTTGCATCATGTTGCAGTGTTGAAATTGTCGTTTCCTGGTTCCTTATTTTGTTTTTTTAAGAGCTCTTTCCTTTCACAATCACCACGCAACGCTGTCATTAAGGTCTCAAAGTCTATCCTCAGTTTCCTTCAAGCGTTTTGCCAGCTTTCAATGGAATTCTTAATTTCCTGGATACCTGTTTGAATCTGTTTCATGCATTCTGAGTCTCTCCTGTATTGTTCATTCAAGGTTTCCATCATTTTTCTATTCTTGATTTTTTATCTACATCTTCTTTAGATGTGCTGAGCAATTCTTTCATGATTGTTGTCGTTTCTTTTTTTACCTGAGAGATTATTTCTGATCTGATTTTTCCTATAACCTGATGGACTTCTTTACTTCTGTTGCTATCATTTCAGAAATTTCAGATGTGTGACTCCGAGTTCTTCTATCCCTTTGTCTTCCGGACGTTTTTCTGGGTGAGCTGGAGGCCTGACATTGCCGTTTGCTTCTTTGTTTTGACATTTTTTGCAGCTCCCAATACTCACCTGGCCTCAGCAGTGATGGAAGGGTCAGCACGACTCCCCCGACAGTGCGGGGGCGGGTGGGTGCGCCGAAGCTCCCGCTGGGCGGCTTTCAGAGTGGCTTCCACCAAAGTAAAGGGGAAGCAAGCAGCAGCTCCGGAAGGCTCCTGCAGTAAGGAAGGCAGGCGGACGTCCCACAAGGCCCTCTCCGTGGTGGGGGGACGGGTCACAGCTCTGCAAAGGTCCCGCAAAGGTGGGTGGTGTGGGGAAGGGCTGAGCTCACCAGGGCCGCACATGTCAGGCTCCGCCTGCCTTCCACACGGTTGGGGGTGGGGGATAGGTGTCTTTGAAAAGTTCATGATTGATAAAGGTGGTATTTTTCCAAGGTACTGATTTTGCTGCAGTTAACCCTCGCTGCCAAGGCCTGCAAGAAATCAGTTTTGTTTTGTTTCCCTTTCCCTGCATCAGATCCCTGTTCTGTCCTCTTAGCCACAACATGACTATGGGAAGGTCCTTACCTCAAAGATTCAGGTCCCCACCTCCAGATTAATTCTGGAGCCTTGCTGGCAACGGGTGCAATGCTACTGAGTCCCTTGCGGGAAGCTAGACCTCACCGGACACACCACCCCCCACAGCCATCTGCACTGTGAAGTCCACGGGCAGGGCTGCTGTGAGGCGCTGCAGTGAGCAGGACCCGGGGCCGTTTGGGCAGCACAGCGTGAGGGCAGGGCGTGGGGATGAATCGCAAGAACCTGCACCAGGCCGGGGCTGCCTCCCACAGCCTGTTATGCTGGCGTTCCCAGGTGTAGCTCTGTATATCCCAGGAGTTTGTCCCCCAGGGCTCCTGGGGCTGGCTTACTGCACCGGCACTTGGGAAGGGAAGCCTTCTGAGGCGTCACGTCCGGTTTCCTGTTGCTGTAGAATTCACAGCGGGCCTGTGGCCACACCTCTACCTCGCCAGGCCACCCTCCAGCCACCCGCATGCTGTGCGAGGAGGACCCACAGAGAGAGGCAAGCGCACTGGCTGCTGACTTCCAGAGCCGGGAGCCTAGACGGGTGCTGCAGAAGGCTCCTCCTAGGACACAGAATACCTGGGCGGTGCCCAGAACGCCTCCAGAGCAGGTTCTCCCAGGCCTTCACCAACAGACACCCTGTTCCTCCGGGCGCCATTGCCTGGTTCTCCCAGGGACCCCTGTTTCACTTCCGTCCTTGCTGTGCTGCCGTGGGCTCTGCTCCTGGCTAAGCAGGCCTCCTCCCCTCCGCACCCCCCCACCACCACTCCTCCAAGTCACCGTGCTTCCCTGGGTGTCTGTCCAGGGCTGATCCCCAGCCCACCCACCCACCCCACCCCCGGGTTTTTGATGCTACAGCATGGAGAAGTGGCTGGTGGCACTCCCTCTGATCTACTCTGCCATCCTGAATCTT